AAAAAAAAAAAAAAAAAAAAAAAAAAAAAAAAATTGAAACCAACCATGAAAATTTATAAAAAAGAAATATAGAAATTAAATTTGGACATTTGAAATTAGATCAACTAATTTAAGTTTTTGAAACATAATATAAGTTTCAACCAAATAACATTATTGGTAAGTGAGTTTATTTCAGAATAAAATGGATTTTTGAAATGGATCCAAAATTAGTTCAGAATAAACCAAACCTACTATCATAGAACGAAAGAATCATGCTTGAAGAGAGGGAAAGGGGGAGGAATGATAATTAGGGAGCAAAATGAAAGGAAAACTAAGAGTCAAATCAAAGTGGTGGACCCTAAACAGAAATGCTCATCCAAGTCTTTAGTTTAAAGCAAACCAGAGGAGGCATCACATGGATATACCCGTTGTGATTTGTGAATGGGTAGTGTTTACTTTGCCATGTGATCCAAATTGTAGCTTTGTTCACAAGTTTTGTTTCGGCCTTTCACTAAAAAGAACGAAAAGTAGTTTTGGAAGTATGGAAAGCCTAACTCTGACTTTGTGCAATGCACTTCCCACTGTTTTCCTTTTCATTCTCTATCATATGCTTCAAGAAACTGACCCAATTACTTAATTTGAAGTCTCTATTAATAAATTCACGATTCTAACAGGAATTTTCACTTCAATTATTCCTAAAATGATTCCTTGGCCCTATAATTTCCATAAAATAATAATAACAACAACAAAAGACACCAGCATAAGAATAGAAGTACCATATTGAACTTCTATGATGATGGATTCTTTTTTAAAAATAACTTAATTAAATAGTTTAGTCTAATAAACTACAAAATTCTTCAGAACCCTCTTTTGATAATCCGTTTAATTTTCAATGTGTTTGTATGTTTTTTTATTTTATAATTTAGCTAAGATTTCATTTTAAATAAAGAAAAAATATATTGCAAAACAAATAAATCATTGGAGTCAACCACTTTATGTTTTGAAAAAAAACTTTCATTCGTCTCTCTCACTCTCCATTCCTATAATCAATTCCTAAAATGAAAACTGAAATAATGAAATTTCTGGACGCAACGATTCAGGAAAAACTGAAATGAAAATAAGTCGTACCTATCTCTCCATTAGTGACCGTTCAATCATGGTGGAACCAAACCAACCATCCATCAAATTCCACACCCAATTGAACTTTTCCAATTTCCGTTTCGTTCCATTACCCTCGGCTTAGGCTCTCAATATCTACCCTTATTTTTAATTGATTGTAATTTTAAAATTCCTAATAAACAACTTTTAAAAATACAGAATGAAGTGTATTAGCTCAAAATAAAGTTAAACATGAAAACGAATTCGAAAGTTAATTTAAGTACTTACATGACATTGTGAGCGGTCCATAGAATGCCGTATTGGTGGAACTCCTTGGTCGGGTCGAACCATAGCCGATACCGCTCCTCACGACCCCGGTTCGTGCTTCCATTTCCGTATAGATTGGTCTGAAACCTCCATGGCTTTCCTTCAATGTTCCCTAAAAACTCGAAGTCCAACTCGTCGTGACTCTTCTCGAATACGTCACCGTTCGAGGTCTGTTATGGGCGAAAAATGCACGAAAATGAACCAAAATTCACGGCGATCATCACAAGCAATCATGGAGGAGGATGAAAGAAAAGTTCTCATTCACATCATAAAAAAAGTTCTCATTCATTTCCTCACAATAAATGAATACGTTTTTCAGTTTCTCTGTTCGATTAAATAATTCAACGGTTACGACTTCTGTTTGACCGAAATTCGGGTAAAATTTTCCTTATTCAATACTCGCGGCTTTAACTTTTCTCAGCAACCAAACAATTAAGGCGTGATTAAACAAAACTTCATCTATCGCTACTTACGTAGAAGGCTACAACGATGCCAGCGGTGTAATCGGATGGCAATTTGATTCTCGCGCTGAAGAATCCATGTTTATACATCTTCGACGAAATGAATCCAGAGCCTGAAAAATCAATTAAAAAACCAGAGCAAAACACATACACACACACACACACAAATCAAACCGCAGAAATTCGAACCCGTACTCACTCATAAACAGATATTTCAGAAAATTACCGGTGAAGCGATCGAGAAGAAGGCGAACGGATTTTCCGTCAGGAGATCGAACAAGGTTTCCGTCGCCAAACAGAGGCGAGTAGCCGTCGTTGAAACGGATGGTAGTGACGTTGAAAGAAGCGTTTGCAACAGAATTAAAGAAACCAAAGATTATCAACATCAACATCAACATCAACATCAGGAGATTCGAACCTCCATAGCTACGCAGCCAAACATCCATACTGTCTCTCTCTGTTTCTCTCTCTCTCTCTCTCTCTCTATATATATATATATAAATATATATTTCTTCTGTGATTCTGTATACTTGTGTATATATATAAATATACAAGAAGAATCTTACTAAAAGAAGAGGACGATGAAGAGCAGAGAGGTCTGAGATTGAAAGCTTAATTATGTTTAGGAAGAAGAAGAAGAAGAAGAAGGGTTGAAATTGGGTGAAGGAGTTTCTGATGTGTTTGTTTTGTTCTTAAAATACTACTTGACGAAATTGCCCTTCCACGTTCGCGATATTTCGGGAGAGCCATTATTTTCGTGAGATGGATTGCATGAGTCGCCTATTTTCCATATTCAAACAATAAAATAATAAACAAATAAATAGAGAATAAAAATAAAAATATTGGATTGGACTAAAATTATTTTTTTATTCATTCTTCAACTAAATTAAAATTTTATTTCTATTTATTTTTTAAATTTTCAAAAAATGACATACTTATATTTAAATTTAAATTTTATTGATGATTACTTTATAAAATTTAAAATTTATTTCTAAATAATTCACTGACATCATAAATGGTTAAATAATACATATATGAGTTAATTTTTTTATTTATTTATAATATAGCTAATATCAAGTTTAACGCTCCGATTAAAACTTAAATTTAAATAAGAACCGTTTCTTTCGAAATTTAAAAGGCGAAATAAAAACTTTTAAAGATGAAAATAATAGTTTTAAAAACTTATATTAAGATTAAGTCTGGGCGTTATATTTTAAATAATTAATAGATATTTGTTTGTTTATTATTGATTATTACTTTATATATTAATAATTATCCATGCAAAATAAATTTATTAATGTTAAAGTCAAGAAAAGAGGATTTTGACGACGAAAAATATCTCTATAATTATATATATACAATCCCACTTTGGTAATATTATGTGTTTTTTTATTATTATTATTCTCAAATATCCCACCTTAATTAATGAAAATAATAATGATTATTCTCGAAATTAAAAATTAAAATCAATGGAACTTTAATATTGACAGGCTTTATGGAAAATTTTAGGAAAATAAAATAAGTGATTTTTGAGAAGAAGATAGTAAGGGAAGAAATTATATTTTTGGATGAGCTGGTGACCTTAATTTTCTTTATTTTTTTTTAATTCAAAAAACGGAAAATGACAATAATTTTTTTTAAAAAAATGGTAATAAATCTTTCTTGTTGAAATGCATGGTTAATGGAGATGGACAGGTGTTTCCATTTAATTAATATATTATATATTTTGACTAAAAATTATAATATAAAAATAAAATGGAAATAATTTATTTATATTTTGTTACAATAAAATGAAAAGGAGATGAGTTTGTTTATGACAGCACTGTGATTACCTACCAAACATAGGTTAGGCGCTGGACTTCATTATTATTTTTGGTTATTCCGTAGGTCATATTTGAGGAGTGGATGGTAAATTTCTCGAGGTAACAGGGGTATTATTGTCCCCGTGAAAAAGTTGAGGATGGGAATTTTGTAATTAAGCCATGAAAACAAGGGTATTATGGTAAAATTGTAACATTTGATTTCTAACCGTCTGGATACGGCGGAGACGGTTGAACGTTTCGATGGAGAAACCGTGTCAGAGACTAACGGCGTTTCTATTGGTTTCATGATGTCCTCATTCAGCTCGTTTAGGTTCCTTAATCTTTGTTGTATAATGTCCGAAATACCCCCCTTTTTTTTCACACTAGGTGAATTTTGCCGTTAAATTTAAATGAAATTATAAGTTCAATTTTTTCGCATCTATTTTTTTTGTCGAATAATTAAAATATTAGAAATTAAAATCTAAAAAAAATCTGTACTAAAAATGGTATTTAATAAATTTCTAAGCCTATGTTATCAAATTTCCAAAACTTCCATATTATTTATTAATTCAGATTTTAAAATACTTAAAAAACGTATAATAAATTCTTATATCATTGTATTTATTTTAGTTTTTTTTTTCAACATCATCATATACATACATATATATATAATTTATATATTTTTTCATTTTTATGTTTAATTTGAATACTGATTGACCAAATTTTATTTAAAATACATGAACGTAGTATGGAGTGAGAATGCATATCCTGTGGTCGAAAAATATGTCTTAACGACGTAAAAGAACCACTCTAAATGTTCTATACAATCATTTTACATTTTTGTGAATCAAAAATGCATAACATGTGAACTAACCAGCCAAACTTTTTCTAGAACATTCAACCTTCAACTCCATGAACAATTGGTGGCCCACAAGGGGGACAATCCTGTGAAAATCAATACACTTTACAAATAGCTACCATATAAAATAATCGCAAGGACGCAAGAGTTTTGAAGTAGCCTTCTTAGATTTGACATGGGGAGAGAAAAGAATCATCATTCAAGTTCCTAGTTTGATTTACGCAAGTGTTGGCCTTTGTCCAAGTCATAGGTACACTATACATCTTTGACAAAAACATAGCTAAAGCCCCTTTCTTCGCTCGCCATCACTGAATAAACCCGTTGCGGTAGTTACACGAGCACATGCTTCCAGCAACCTATCTTTCAGCTTTTGACAAATTGGTATTTTGATTCGACATAGCTCTCTGCATCCCAGAGGAATGATCCGAACGCAACTGCCTCCAGTACTAACATTGTCAGCCCGGAGAAAGTAACAGTGATCACTTCGTCGTTGAGTGTGTCAATCGAACCATCATCAGCTATCCGAATGTCTGGCTTTCCGAACAATGCCTGAGTCTGCTTTTCAATCAAAGATATAGCTTCTTTCGATCTCAATGTTGCATATTTTTGAAGTGTCTCAGAATCCAAATACATCACATAGGATCTCAATCTATTCGATTTGCCACCATCTGTATCCATAAATCCTACACTGTCACCGACTCCCTCATCATCAGGTGGAATCATGATCAAGGAATCGGGATCCCAGAGTTGATTTCCTGGTAATGACTCATCAAAGTCTCTGGTAAATGCTTCAGGCAGAGTTTTCATGGTCCTTTCAAGTTGGAAACGTTCATCAACTCTTTTAAGAAAGTATCCATACATTATAGAAGCTGCATATAGCTTGCCTAGTTTTATTTTGCTCATTTCAACAATGGAAGTGAGGGGGCCGTCAAATCGTTCTCCAAGTACAAGGGACAAGTGACTTTGTATCATTTCAAATGCTTCAGGAGAGTGAACAGATTCCAGTTTTTGCTCTTGGTTTGGCCAAAAATCAACCCTGCCAGTAGGGTCTGAGGTTTCAGTTATCTTGGGGATCATCGAAATGTCGTTCTCAACAAACTTTCCAACAATCAAGCAGTACAATATCTCTTCCAATGTCTTTCGCCTTTCTTTCTCTCTCACTTCAGCTATCCTCCTAAGTTCATTGATTCAACTACATTAGTGACTTCTCACGTAAAGCCAATAATAGCAATCAAGTGATTAATTGATAATTTGGTCGATGTACAAAACTTATTCCCATCTGTTGTGGACTAAGAAGCAAGGATACGGATATGAGATATAAAAGACGAAAACAATACAACATGAACAAGGAGACAGTCATTTTTTAAACATCTACGACATGTACATGGCAACGACACATTAATTAAAATATACATTTTAAGAAATATATATAATTTTTATACCAGAATATTTCACTCTCAAAGTTTATTATTTTGTCCTATATTATTATGTTCTATTTAGTATACTTAACAAATGCTAAACCTATGTTGACTTTGTCCAACTAGCCTCTAACACGCATCTATTGTGGTAATCAGTGTCGAAATGTGCCCAACAAGGGTCAGCATGTCCAACTGTTGGACACAAACAAACCAGCTAAAGTATGGTATTTGAGCTGATAGCTATAACAGCCACACTAAATTGCTGTTTCTTTTAAATCTAAGGGAGAGAAAATTGGCCAACAAGCAATTTCAAACATGAATATTCCAGCTTAATCCATAATCTTTCAAACAGCATATAGTTACTTAACACTATCTTTACTTAAGAACCTATAAACGTGATTTGTTGCTGAGAGAAAAGAAAGAGAAACACGCACTTACTTGTAGAGAGGATCTTGAGATGACGAAGAAGCCTCTTCTGTCTGCAAATCTCTCTCAGTTTGAAGGTTATCAAGTTGCTGATCAACAGTTGCAGGAAGTAAATGAGGATGGGATTGCAAAATCTGGGCCAATAACTGACCGACTGGGGATTCAAATTGAACAGGTGCAACTGGAAAAACATTTTGAGAATCACCTGAAGCTCTTATACTTAACCCCCTTAATCGAAATTTATCCAAACTAGATCCAGACTTTGGCATGTAAAATGATGAACACCCCTGATAAACAAGAGAAAGAAGGTAAAAAAAAAAAATTACATAAACAAAATGACAAGCTTGTCACTGCGCATCTGTGGCCAACCCATAAATAGATGGAAGTGAACAGTAATGCATATGGACATATGACGTCCTCCATACCATGCTCATGTATCAAAGCACAATTGTGTAATACTTTCCAACTTTGATTTGAGATTCTCTTCTAAACTTTCTCAATCCAATGCATTCGCAAAACTAATAAAGTCTCCCTTTCTTGATTCCCCAATACAATATCTTTGTACTTTACTTAAATTACTCACCAAAAATGAGGATCTATGTAAGCCAATTTGATAGCCATTCAGTATACATCAGATTCTTAACAAAAAAAAAACACTCCATAAAGTTATTATTTTAAGTAATTCCTCTTCAAGACACCGTCATCAATCTCGATTCTGAGTAATCCTACATCTTCACTAGGTCAATCCATAAGCTAACAAATCAAACATACAACACGGAGTATATATAATTCGAATTGTTGAAAAATAATGCAAGAAGAGAAAATAAACACAAGCGTGGTGGAATCGAAGCAAGGCTTCATAACCTTTCCCATGGAAGCTTTCAATTTGACTAGATTAAGTCAAATTACAGAAAAGAAAAGAGGAAACAGAAAACTCACTCTAAAGAATCCAGCGGAAATGGAATTCTTCGAATCGATAGAGGCATGACAGTGTCTCAGCTCGGACGATCTGATACCTCCAGCCGAGGGAAACACGACGGAAACGTCGCCGATTACACCCGAAATCTGCATTTTGTGCAACGTGAAGAAGTTGCTTAACAAATGAAGACCGACGATACCCTCGCGAGGGATAGACGCAGGATTACGTTTTTCACTAAGATTTTTCCCCCCACTTTGAATAATAAATAAATAAAACAAAATAAAATAAACTACAAATGTCAAATTTTAAAAATATCAAATAAATTATCTAAACTATAAAGAGTGTGCAATATTTTAATAATTAAATTTAAAAAACATATTTTTTGAAACATACAAGGAACACACACACACACAAAAAAAAAATAATAAATAAATAAAAAACTTGTAGTTTCAGAAATTTATTAAAAAAATAAAATTTTAAAATTTAAATAAAATGCAAAATTAAAAGCTTAAAAAAGTGCAAGTAGAAGCACTTATTTGCAGGTGTAAATCTTTTTATTTCAAATTATCTTCCAAGATTTAAAATATTTTACAATAAAATTATTAATTATCTGTAATAGATTTGCAAAGTTCATTTCCACATTTTTTTTTCTTAATAATTCATATATCGGTTATATTTTAATTTGAATTACTAAGTTTTAAACTTATTTAGTTGTAATTATATTATGAATCTATTTAATAAAATTAAATAAAATTCGACTAATTCAAACTCCTATCAATTTTCAAATGCTAGTCTAACCATAGTTCAGATCATACAATTTTAATTTCAAATTTATTACTATTTATTTCAACATAAACAGAAGTGAATTATTAGACCTTATTTGATCATGACGATCGCGATTATTAAATGTTACTAATACCGAAGGGTATTAGACTAGTTTGTTGAAATTCATAATTTTCTATCAAATGCTCATTTGTTTTGTTGAATTCAATATCCCACTGAGAATCAAGGCAGAGACCCCAAAAGTTGGAAATAGAACATCTTTTTCTACTTGAAAATGAAATGCATGTTCAGAGCACTGTTGGTTGTTGTTCTTGCAAAAGAACTGTAGAATCTTGGTGATGGAAATGCTGAATACAATTATGAATATGCTGCAACTCAAATCAATGTTCGAAAGCATAACGAAATGCCACGATTTCGACCTCAACTAGCACGAAAACATAATTTACAAGAAAAAAAATCAACTGACATGTTGCATAACACTCATCAAATATGGGGTACAAGGATACTACAGGGTGCTTCAAGGTTAAAGACGAAGCCTCCGTAAGAATGAAATGACGATCAACAGTGCAAGACGACGACGCAGGTCAGTTCTTATGAAATGTAAACGACAAGCTATGCAAGGTCAGGTTATGTGCCTGGAGCTGAATTAAGTAACTACGGTAGATTCTAACTACCCCTTGGTGAACTCGGTCCGGGATGTACGCTGAGGTTCTTTATTCACATTTTGGTCATCTTTGGTGGCTCTTGGATCTTCTTTTCCATCACTTTCTCCAAGCCTCCTCTGTAGAAAAGAAAATTTCAGGTGAATTATGAGTACAAGGTAAAATAATCTTCATTTGCATTAGTTTTCATTGATCCCCTTTCCTATCTGAGTCTATGAAAAGGCACTTCTATTCTGCCCTGAAAATCAAACATGGCTTCATATTTGGAGATTCAATCTTCGAGCTTGAATATCGAAACTATGGGGTCTTAAAGAAAGATGGAAGTGAAATAGCAAGGTCGATTTCAATGATGTCGTTCTTATTATACACGTACCCCACTCTTTTCTTTGCTTCATTGAGATAAATGGTAAAAATGTCTAGATTTCAAGTTATTGGCATCACCTTGAGAGAAGCATTCTCTGAAAGAAGTTGCTCGTACTCACTCCTAATCCTATCCACTTCGGACCTAAGACTCGCATTTTCCTCGTTCAAAGCTTCGGCACGATGAGAAAGCTCGTCACATTCAGCCTAAGTGAAAATAATAATTATAAATATATCAAGCAGGAAAATCCAATTAATTAAAATATGGCAGCATGAGTCGAGATCGTCCACTTTGATTATAAATTTACAAAATGCCTAATTACCTGTTTACGCAACCGAGACCTACGAGCAGATTCTCTGTTTGACTGCTTCCTTTTTTGCCTTTTTAGCTCTCTTTCATCCTGGATCCACAAAAAAACATGTAAAAACTCATTCTCTTCATCTGAAAACACTGAAAACTGGGAAGGAAGATATTTTTTTCTTCAAATTGATATTTGGTCAAGCTGGTTCAAACAAGCCATACGGGTTGATAGCACTTACCTATACTAAAGAATTATTTTGCATTAACACTGTAAAATCATGCATTACAATTACTCATTAGTTGAAATAGTACACCTGGGCCAGAGTATGAGAAGAAGAGGTTGAACTTATTCCCATTCATATTGTGGCCTAACACCAAATTCAAGTGTGTCCTTATCCTTTTTTTTCTTCCCTCCCCAATTCAAATTGTATTCAAGTTTCCATGTCCACAATGTAATTTTATCATTTTACATAATTAGTGAATTGATGTATGTGCATGTCTATATGATAACTTTGGATATCCGAGCCCACTCAAGCGCAATATTCGACAAAGTTGGACCAAACCTGTAACCACATCTGTGACTGAATGCTGTCCCGTGACCCAGCAGCAGCAGCTCCCACAACCGGAGCGGAAGGGACCTTCCCACCCAATGAAGGGACGGCAGAAGTTGTAGGAGTACCCCAATAATCCATTCCTATATTCAAATTTGTAGCAGGACCTGAAACAGCTCCAGAAGCTTGAATTGGTATTATGGACATTGTTTGGTTCACCAATGGATGAGCGAGACTATGTCCTTCATTCTGAGAACCATGCATTAAACCATTAGGAGTCCCTCCACCTGTACCAGAGCAAAAAAACTTCCTCATCAATATAAAAAACTGAATACATGGACTGCATAATAGAAAAAAGTCCCAAACCTTCTAAAGAATCTTTCCCAGATCCAGATTTTAGTTGTGAATCCTACAAAAATCAGTGAAGCTACGATAGATCAAATTACATGTGTCGGGACAGAACCCAAGTGGTACGAGGGGCCCCTCAAACAACAATAGGTTGATATATAACATCTACTGCAATCGTAAATGTAAAACAATAAAACCAAATAGATACAGACGCATGTTTACCCATCCTTCTCAAGTTATGGATATTGATTTTAACATTTCAGTAATATAACAGATAACTCAATATGTGATTTTCCTCCACAAATAAACTTTTAAACTCCAATTGTACATAACAATAAACACAATAAAACAGGAAACGGAATGGGCAAACTTGGACTTGGGCCTACCCCACGCCCTGCCCTCAAGAAATATGGAGGAATCGATAGAATAAACATTCACATGGTTATTGTAGCCGCAGAACGCTTACATTTTGAGAGTCAGCATCACTTCTTTCGCTTGAACCTTCACTTTCACTTTCAGCGCTGCACAGTGAGGTTCATCATCACATAAGCTAAATGTAAATGTGAAAGATGAGATGTAAAATTAAGGACAGGACAAAATATTCTTTAAAGTCAATGCAAACTAATGTTGTCAAACCTCAATACGACAGAATAAATAGACTGGAGTTCAAGTGTGCAGTAAGCGAAACAAGTTTACAGTTTCTTATTATTAATGAGAACTGAGAGAAAAAATCAAAGCAGAAAACAAGGTCGGCCAGTTGAACCTTTTGGAGGATTTAGAATGTATTATATTCTTGATACCTGCCCTATACGTTGCACTTGTGTCCACATAAGACCCCAATCACAAAAGTTAAAAGCAAGTAAATATGGAAGTCTGACCATCATGAATTGAAAGCACAACCGATCACAAATATATCTACATGACATGTCATACCTTTTAGAATAAACTCCATTAGCAGATGCTCCTGATGGTTTACCAAGCTCGTTGTTCTTCCCAGTGATCATGTTTAAACTTCCCAGACTTCCTTTCGATCTTTTAATTGGCAACTTTTCTTTCAGCTCAGAGGGCTTACCATCCCCTTCCATGTTGCCTGGTGTATTCCCCTATGTAAATTTTTTCCAGTCATTCACCCACAGTCCTCCTCAAATTGAGAAAATATGTTTTCAAAGACATAAGCCAGTGGAACTGAAAACTTACAGAAGCCTCAGCAATTCCATTTGGAGAAGCTATAGCAAAAGGACTGTAAGGATATGATCCCTGTGACAAGCATGGGATTCTCAGGTTAACATAATCCAAGATATAAGTAAATATAAACTGTAAACTGCAGGAAAAATAAATCTACAAAAAGTACCGGAGGAATAGGTGGATGAGCATAGATGCCACCATGGGGATACATTGCAACATAGGGATGTGGAGGGGTACCATAAGGGGGCATAATGGGCTGCATCAAACATTTAGAATATTATCTGGTAAAGAATGAAAAAATGTTTAGATGTTTCAGCTAATCAATAATTAAAAAAAGTGAAGCTCAAAAAGGGGATAATTCCTTATTTTATGGATAATTTCTTCTCCATAAAATATCTGACGCTCATGCCTATTTGAAATATCAACGATAATTTTGACAGGCTAGGCTGATTATAAAAAGGTATAAGAACATATGTAAGCATAACAACCAGGAATTCTTATACCAGCATAGAGGAACTCTATAACTACAATATTTACAAGTTGTAAGAAAATATTGTACAAAACAAGAGGACAACCTGTCAATAAAATATTTATAAGATGCTGGCATCTTTGGTTTTAAGCAAATAACCACATCACTCATGAACTTAATGTTGCATTTTAACATGATTCCACCAACGGTTCTCAAGTTCCAAGGGTGCGACCCCCATATGCAATCACTATCTCAAGAAGAATAAGAAAGTAATAAAAAGTGCACGTAACTTTCCTTGAGGCCCAAAAGTTGTAAAAATGAGACGACCACACTTTAGACACAATAAAGACGTCAAGAAGTGTATGAATCTAGCGCAATGTGAAATTAGATGAAGAATACCATCCATTCAATAAAAGAATATGCATGTGGTAATCACTACATCAACTAAATCTCTCCATACTTTTGGTCATTGATCCACTTTTCAGAGACCATCATCAAACATTAAAGTCTACCCCGATACACCAGGAGCAGGAGTATAAACCAGCTAGATTATCAATCTTGATAAAATTCCTTCTTGTAAGCCCAGACACTTTAAAGCATCAATCTGTGAAAATATTTTAAGAGATAGAAAGTACCCCTTTTATAATTACTCTATTAGTATTATTTGTGCCAAATGGAGTGTTTTTGTGTGAGCTCTCCTGGGTTTCTTTTGAGGAAATCTTGTCCTCTCTTTTGTCTTGCTTCTTTCTGCCCCCCTCCTCCAACACCCTCCCCTAAAAAAAAAAAAAAGGAAAAAGATGGGTGCCCCCCGGCTGTCCCCAGCAGAATCACAAGCTTCAATGAAAGCTCAGCTCTATAGCTCCACGCAATTTAATGACCCATCCATCGACCGTTTCAAGAGGAGAAGTGAGAACCATGTCAAACTTCGGCAAACGTTCTAATTAGTTATTTTCGGGAACAGCCAATCTCTCATACTAATTAACTTATCTGGCAGGAACAAGTCCAATTAACTTGTTAATACCAGCAACAAATTATTTTAACAACAAAATATTATGAAATAACAACAAAAATAGAAAAGGAAAGAGCAAGAACAGTCACGAGAAACTATATTGAGAACTTTAGAAAAAATGATGACCGAAAAACACCTTTGGCCTGAGTAAGAAACTTTTAAAATATGCTAAAGAGATTGCCCATCCAATGGAATACCTCAAACACCAGGAAAACAAGATACCAGCTAATTGAAAATTATGAAACTTGGAGCAAAGGTCAATGTTATATAAAGCAGCAGTCTAGCTACGGTACATACCTGTACCCCCCACATATATGGGTGTGCCTGGGGGCTTGTTGGCAAATATCCAGGTGGAGGTATTGGAGAATATGCCTAAAGGAAAAGAAGGGGAAAAAAAAACATGAGAAAGGATAAGAAGTAAACCGCAATGCATATACAATAGTGAACCATGTAAACTTGAGGCTTTAACAAAAAGAACCTGAAATCCTGACCATTCAGGATTAACAATGCCAGTGCTTGTGTTTGGAGACTCTTCCTGAAAGAACACAAAACTATACAAAATTTAAGAAGCAGCCCTGTAAGACAATTAAATTTGAAGGCTAAATCTCTCAGATATTGGAAACTTTAGAAAATCATGTCACTAGCCTCCATAAGATAGAAGTTTTGAGTGATAAGACTCAAACTTCATTTTGATCAATGAAGGAATAGAATGTTAGTGAATCAAAGATGTCTAAAATTCTAAATGTCTGGGTATTTGAATCCTAGTAACTGTGAATCAAGGTTAATTGTGTCTGTTTTGAAGAATTTATCCGCAGAAATTTTTAATGTTGGATAATTGTATATGCTTTGCAGGATTTGTCTTTACAAATATAATGAAATTGCCAATTGTTCCCTTGGTGCTCCTATGTTTAAAAAATTTCATAAATAAAATTATGGTTTAATTACAAGTTAAGTCCATAAACTTTCTAGTTTGTGTCTATTTGGTACTTGAACTTTAAAAAGTGCCTAATAGGTTTTTGAACTTTCAATTTTATGTCTAATAGGTCCCTTAACTTCAAAAATGTCAACAAGTCCTTGAATTTTCAATTTTGTGTTTAATAAGTCACTGACATATTAAAAAAATTTAAAAACTAAATAGCCTAATATATATAAAATTAAATTTTATGCCTAATTGAACTTTAAACTTCAATTTTGTGTCTGGTACATCCATAAATTTTAAAAAACGTCGAAGAGGAGAAGGACTTGTCAAAGTTGAGAGTGTAAGAACTTATTACACTTTCTAAAGTTCAGAAACCAAACTTTAAAACCAAACAGAAGCAAACTTGAAAGTTTAGAGACTAAACTTGTAATTTAACCTAAAATTAATTCATATAACATTAATAAAACATACAAGCAGACCTGTGTAGTGGCAGGCGCAGACTTGGATTCCTCCTTCGCTGATTTATTTATCTCACTGCCACCCATAATTCTCTATCAAATAGACGCCTCCTTCCAACAAAAAATTGAAATGTCCTACATTATAAAGAACGTAAATAATATCAGTTGTTTTTGTCCCACATTTTCACAATAGCAAAGCTATATAGTAGTCCTAGTCTTACTTTCCTTGATAACATAAAAGATCGACAACAAAAAAAACTCCTCTTTCTTTCTTTCTTTCTTTTTTTTTTTTTTTTTTTTTTTTTTT